ATATATATGTATGTATGTATCAGTGGCTTTAGAGTAAAAACTTCAGCTATGCTCAGTATTTGGTAGAGCAACCGAATGGTAACCGGAAGGTCTTCGAAAGGGTTGAAAATCAATGGGGGACAGTATACTATCACAATACGACATGCATGTTAAATATAAATGTACGTATGCATCGCCTTTACTTTTTAATATTGGAGCTCTAAAAAAAATATTACGTTATTTAGGTTCATTTGGATATAATTTGAAATGGTGACAAATAATTTTTGTCTGATGAAAAGAATAATGAAGAGGCTACATTTAGCCTGCTATTAAGGCTGAGCTTTTAATTTCAGCAGTTATTCTATTTTCTTCGGCATGATTACAAATTACAAGTCAACACTATATGATTTATCTGATGGACGATGGAGTCATTGTACTTCATCTGACGTACGTTAATATATAAAAAATTCTTACCTTTTAAATGCTGAGATGAAGGTTCCGAATTTGTCTTTTCCAAGTTTGCTTTCATTGCCTCTTGGTCCTCAGCTACATGTGTGTAATCAACTTCCAACTGTTTTTGTTTACAAGCAGTATCTGCTATAAAGTCCGAGTCGGAAATATTTGAGTTCGTTTCAGAAACATCTAGAATAGCAGAGCTAGGCGAAGACATAGGTGATTCCAGTGGACATGGTAGGCGAGGGTCCGAGTCTAGGTACACAGGTGTAGGAGCGGGCATTGGTGCGGGTTGTGGTGGAGGAGAGTCCAGGAAAGGTCGATGTAAGATTGGTGTTGGCATAACTGTATCTTTAGATTGGCACGATGGCTCCGTATGCTTTTTGTGCGGTTCACGTTCCGATGTTTCAGAAATTCTCCAGCTAGCGTTTTCTTTATAATTTAATGTTTCTTTTGATACAATTTGTGAGCTAATATCTGACATAATCACGAATCTCTCTGGAAACAATATGGTCAGAAACGCAAAAGGAACGACCCTCGAATTTGTTGGGAAGTTGTAAAAAATGTCCCGAAATTGGTAGAACTTTTTTTAATTGTACCGTTGAAAATTCTATGATGTATCAAACTTTGTACTACCTATTTAATAAATATGACTAAGCTAAGAATTTATTCCAAGCAATGCGGCTGGACTGCTGTCGGCGTGTGCAGTACAAGTCGACTCGGAAAGTGTCGAAGCTTTGATGCTTTAACTCATAAGTGAGTATATTCAACGAATCTCCACCGTAATAATGGATTTAGTTATAGAGTTTCAGAAGACAAAGTCTTGTCCCGTGAGAGCCATTTAGCCAATGCTAGAGTATACACAGCGAACACAGCCGAGAGACGTAATTACCAAACTCAATTCATAGTTTGTCAGACGAATTGAAAAAGCGACCCCAACGATTAAGTTTGTTTTGGTTGAGCCTATTGTTGAAAGAGGATTCCTCCATGGTCAGCAACAATGCAAGTCGTGGGTGCGGGTCCTTGGCGAACATCAGATCCCTTTGTAATTTACCGAATTCTTTAAAATCTCTTGATGAGTTTCATTAACTAATTATGCGAAGTCTCTATTGGGAAGTTTTGTTAATTACATATTATGCTTTTGTACCTAACATCGATTAGTGTCGCCTCAGGCTTACACCCCGATCTAGCTTATCGAAAATTACTAGCGAAGAAAGCTGAGTAGTTGGTGATCATAGCGAACAATTCGGAATTCGAAATCAATGCAAGTGTTTTCCGAGTTCACAAACGCCGAATAATAAAGCAACAATATAAACAATAGGCGAAATTGTAATGAGTGGATTAGCTGGATATGATACCGTAGCGATCGGAAATGGACGATCAGCTCACAACAATAAGAGCCAACACAAACTAAATTGCCACATTACAAACATTTTGATCATGTAATCTATTATATTAAAGTTTCAACTTTTTTAAAGGCGTTGAATTCATCACAAACATTTGATGTAATTTAAGATTTTATTCTTATTTGTTACTGTAATGATATACAAGTTAATAAAGATTACAAGCAGATCGAACATCGAAGGCAAAGTTTTCAATCATATTTTCAGGGGTCTGACTACACTATAAAGTTTTATAATTATGACAATTACCTTTGATTTGTCCATGACTTTATTGGTGTCATGTGACATTGTAATTCCCATATATGGGGAATTACAGGTATTTCGTATTGAATAACACGAATCTTTTACCTGCAAAGCTATATTAACGAAATAAATTTGATCAGTGTGATGTGATCCTAAGTCACAATAGAGAAAACATTTTTTTTCACAATTACGCATATTCAACATATAATTTCCTGAACGAATTGAATGCTATGTAACGATTTAAAAAATGAAAGTTACACAAGTAATCGATCAGAAATTTAACTTGTCAAATTAACAAACATCTTTAATGCCATTGTGATGCAAAGTATACATTTTGTTTTGCATTCAGATAACGGAATAGCAATAGCTATAGTTAGGTTATCCTATGGACCTGATATCGAGTACCTTGTATTCTATGTATAAGGTATACATTAGTAGGCATAATAGCGGTTGGATCTCAAAATCAATAACATTTTATACCACGAAGGGTCTGTGCCGAAGGTCTTTCAATCCGAAACATATCTTATATACACACATGTCCATGGTTTTTCAACAGCAAGTAATAAATAAGCCTACCAATATTTCTTAATTTCATGAATGGAGGGGTTCTTTTTCATTTGGCATGTTCAACGAATTTTAACAAATTCTAAAGTAATACATTCAGAATCTCAAATTTTAATATTTCCATTTACATTATCCTTTCATCTATTCATTTACTCGGTTTAAAATACTGTTTTTAAAACAGAAATATATTTGTACCGTATTTTATTTAATTATTGTTTTATGTGAGTAGTTTGATTGTTGTCTCTTTTATATAGTCTTTAATTTAAACTGTTAAAAAGATAAATAAACAATATGGTTATACCAGGTAATAATAATTATAGGCCTATTGAAATTATTCAAAATTGAATACAAGTACTTGTAGGAATATAATAAATACAAATATATAAAATTAATTTTCAAAATTTTGTATTATTTAATTTTTTAGATTGCCATTTTGAAATACTGTAAATGATATTTCGAACAGTTGCACTTGCGTTGTACTTTCACTTTAGAATTTGCGGTATTTAAAATGGAAATGATGATATTTAAACTGTTATAACTTAAGACAGTGTATTGTAACAGCCCTAAAGATAGTATACTGACTGTTGTATGCCAACTCTTTATTAAAAAAAAAATCCGAACAACGCCATCATCGAAGGACTTGCCTCAAATTAATTAGACATCTACATTGACTTATCTTAATGCGATGATCAAGTGTCTAAATAATTGAGGGCGCCCGATAGCTACCAACGTATTAAAAAAATTATTATGCAGTGACGATTCCAGAAATTCGAACTATAGGGGAAACCAGAAAGAAAATTTTCATATGGAGGGTCCAGCATGGTTGGGGCTGAGGTACGAAATTTCATGACTGGCACCTCTAGATGGCGCAAATGGCACTCCCGGTTTTAAAATATTTGGGGTAGTGTGTTGGGAGAGGGTGGGAGAAGCTCCTCCCTGAATCAGACCTAACATGAACGTTGGATTAAATTTGGGTATTTGTAGGCTACATTTTACTTTATTACAATATTGCGCAGTTTGAATGTCTATGGACTAACAAACCGTAGGGCTATAAACAAACATACACATTCAAAACCGGTATATCAACAAACGTTGATTGTATTGAATCTTAGGCTGTTCCAGTCAATTTAAAGTGGTCCAGAGCCACCCAATCCCTTTCCGGGGGAATAACTACCAACCCTTAATGTACCCGACCCTAACCAGCTACACCTCCAACAACAGACAAAATGTCTTCTTATTGTATTTTTTTCTTATGTTAGCAATTCACTTGTCCAGACCAAATGGCTACTCATAAATTTTAATCGGATATATTGAATTCAATTCTAAGCTTGTCGAACATTTATGAACGAAACGTGAAAATAGTACAGGTATTCATATATTGATTACCGTAACAAATAAACAAAGACACAAAAATAGTGTTCTTTTGAATTTCATTGTCGGCAGCTCTTTAATCCGAAGATTCCTCTGTCAAGGTGTGATGAGCGGAAATTAATCCCAAGTGCTATTGGATCATAGATCACGGCATCGTTGTTTTTATTCAATTTAAATATAATTACTTCCTCCTTTAAGCACTTAATCAACACTAAGTCTTGAATAAGTTAATCTCAGTATTATAATAATTTTATCCCATATTTTATACTAAATCGTACTTAACTTTCTCCAATTACCTAATTAGATTATATCCGTTTCCGGTGCGACGCATCTCAGATACGGTCTCGCAACTTCGGTTAGAACGTGTCGGTGCTGTTCTAAACGAAAGGGAAGAAAAAAGTGGAGATGATAAACGCTAATATGAAGTAATTTCTTAGACCAACTAAAACCTGTCGTTGAAGTAGAATATGAGATGCGTAGCTTTACTTGCTAGACAGTGCGTCTCGTGATCGTCCATTATGCACACTGCTTGCGGGATGGAGTTTATAATTTGCGCGAGTATGTAGTATTAATTCCTATTGCCTAAACTAAAGCCATTTAGATAGCAAGAAACGTACATTTAACGATAACTAATTTGACATTTAATTAGCTGTTCCCCTTATCGCACCCATTAGCCGGATCTAAGTAGCTACAGCAGCGTGCTGAAGGCTTCTGTAGACAATAGTGGAATAACCGTTAGCATAATAATAATATTTATGAAGGACACTAGAATACGCAAACTAATGGAAACCGAGGAAGGGTGTCTCCGAGAATTTTATATAATATAATTACGAAAGCCGCATGTATATATAATGTTCTTTTTATATCTTATAGTTTATTTATATAAAAAATACCACAACACAACCCATATGTAAATAAATAAATATTCTGATATTAATTTCTTTATGATTGATGTGTTATTATTTTATTGTAACACGATTAGCGTTAGTTGCGTTATTTGCTCGACGCCCTCAGATGATAAAGCGTATTCTGTTGACATTACAACGTGCCAGACAGACCCCCACCTCACATAGGCATGTATGGATGTATTGACTGTTACATATCATGCAAGGCTTTACATCTTTAACGATATCATATCTATGTATCATAATATGTCAGCATATTTTTTTTATTTCAGATGATGCAATTATGGAGAAATGTATTCTATAAACCGTCTCGTCTCCAGATTTATATCATATTCATTAGAGCGTCCATACTATTGTGTGATTTTACTTAGGTAAATCAAATAAACAGGTATGAAATAGCACATCTCTCCTCCGACCATCAATATACATCTCTTTAATCTTTTCCCCGTCGGCGTGTGCATAATTAAAATTGACAATCATTAGGTAGACCTGACAGCATAAGTACGCAATGTTTGACTAATATTTTCTTTTTATGAGTTTTAGTTGGTTGTGTGTGATGGAATCCGATGGGATTAATCGATCGAGATGGTTAGTTGGTGGCGTCAGGGCGGTTTGTCGAACTAATACGTTGCAACCAATACTGATATTACGAAAGAAAACCTGTGTATTATTGTTTTAAAAAGATTAACGCTAGCCGATTTATCGATATGTGTTCTTGGTGCTTGTAATAGCAGTTATATAATTGATTACTATAATGGTAACATACGTTTATAATGGTACTATTTATTTATTTATTTATTTATTTTATTTTATTTATCTATTTCAACTATGTTTTAAGTGAGCAACGGTTTCAGATACGAAGGGCCTAAACAGGAGCTTGAAAACAATTTAATGTACGTACAATAGCAATACAAATCATCAACATAAAATTAATAAATATAACAGAAATGTATATCCAAGTGTAAAAATAAATAAACAGGGGTGTTTTTTCCCCCATATTGGGCCCAGTTTGGGACAAATTGTTATTGATTATTTGTGAAATAAACGGCCATAGAAACCCACTACTGCGTTTGTCGTTTCTATGTCTGGTTCCTTCCTTGCCCCAACCGAGTTCAACAAGCTTAAGTTTAATATAATAATAATAATAATAATAATAATTTTAATAATAATAATAATAATAATAATAATAATAATAGGGTAATAAATAATAAATATGATTATAATTAATAAAGGTTATGCACAGTACCGGAAGATGATGAGGATAAAAATCGGTTTGATATTGATAAAATAACACATAATTATAAGGATATCCCTGTATTGAAGAAAGATAATAAGTAAATTCCATATTGTTGAAAGGTCACGTCCCCGGCAGGAA